CTTGGTCAAAACGGAAGGATCTTTACTACTCAAGCGCCTTCAGCAACAGAAATAGTCTTTGCTCGCCTTAGCAGCAATTTTAAGGCAATGGGAGTCGAAGCTGAGATTGCGGTTAACAGTAAATCCAAGGTCCTTTATTTCAGAAACTTCATCGATAGGGGATCGTGAAATAAAATACTTATTCTTGGGATTGTTTCTACCAAGATACATTGTTTTGGTTTTCTCACAACAGATAGGCAGACTCCATCTGACAGACCAAGCATAAACAATATCAACGGCCTTTTGAATAGCAGAGCAGTCATGAGAAGATGTAACTGCCCTGTAGATCTTGATGTCATCGGCAAACATCTGACAAATAACACCCTCGCTTTGGACCAAGAAGGGTAGATCGAATGTGTAAATATTGAAAAGAACAGGGGATAAACCCCACCCTGCTGAACCCCAGTAGTAGCGCGCCTAACTGTAGAGAGGCAGTCATTAATTCTTATAAAGGCAGTCATTAATTCTAAGGCTGCGTTTATACTTTGCGGCAGCGTAGCGTAGCGCTTCCAGCGTACGCCAGCGGCAGTGCCGGGGAGAGGATGGATATCGATCTAGCGTTCCCAGCGTCACCAGCGTAACGCTAGCGTACGCCAGCGTTTCTCCAGCGTTTCACCAGCGTTTTGCTGGCGTTTGCAGCGGCAGGGGAGTAGAGACTATGTGGCCGTAAGAGACGCGCAATCGATGTGTATTGTAGAGACTATGTGGCCGTCAGAGACGCGGAATCGATGTGTATTGTAGAGACTGAGGGCGAGTGAGAGACGCGCAATCGATGTGTTTTGTACCCTCCAGCTCTCCCATAGTCTCTACTCCCCTGCCGCTGCAAACGCTAGCAAAACGCTGGTGAAACGCTGGAGAAACGCTGGCGTACGCTAGCGCTAGCGTGACGCTGGTGACGCTGGGAACGCTAGATCGATATGCATCCTCTCCCCGGCACTGCCGCTGGCGTACGCTGGAAGCGCTACGCTACGCTGCCGCAAAGTATAAACGCAGCCTAACTTGAACTATGGAAATTCGAGAAGCGATTATGAGTTTCATAGCGTCTTTCATCAAACGTCGAGCAGTAATTAAGTAATATACCGCTAGTAAAGGTACTCGGTATTTGCGACTTTTTGCAACAATAAAAAAGAAATGAGCCAAGTTGGGAGCAAGACTTTCTCCTCAGAGGAAGAAGTAGTCAAAGCACTAGCACATACCTTCTGTGGAGCTCCGGACTGGTTAACGACAGCAGCTCCCACATCGGACGCGATCGCTACATCAGATAAAGCATCCATAGCAGCCAGTGCAACAAGTATATCTTTACTTGAGAGTTCTCCTACCAAACTTTGTAGCATTGGTGCTAGCGCAGGGGTGTAATGACCGCGCTGCATTGCACAAAGTAAAACCTGAACAATTAACTGTTAAGCAGGAGCATAACCCTAGTATAAGACATAATGGAAACGATGGAAAAGTGAAAGAATACCAGACTCAAGCCACACACTTCAAGCAGCTACTGCTTTTTCCTACAACTTTATAGATCGAAATTTGAAAGATACTGCATCAATCCCAATCTTAGCCATACAAGTTTTAAACCAGGAATCGGTAACACAAACCTATCCCACGAAAGCGCAAAGGAACTGTTCTCTTTTTAATTTGCACCCATCTTTAGATAACTAACATACTCGCACTAAGGTCACCCTCAGGCTATCAACAATCGATGACGCTACCTCGCACAGTTAAACGGCAGCACGTACGGCCGCGATGTTTACGAAAAATTGTTACCATACCTGGTAAACTTTAAAACGATGTTCCGAGCTTTCCGTGGTCGTTAACTGATGCTGGAGTTCTTGCAGTAATTGTGGATTACTTGATACTGGTGCAAGTAACGAAGCCAGCTACAAAGTAAACTTGAAACAAAATCGTACTCACAGATGGGAACACTTTTACAATATCACAACGAACTGCGACCACATATAAGCCAGTGGCCGCGCCTAGCAAACTGTGCTCAACTGCACTAACCGCAGTGTTTTCGATACTTCCCACATCACCAAACCAGAATGTGTTAATAAGGCCTCATTCGTACCTTGCGAAATCGGAGAATCAGATAAACAAGGAGGCACGGGATTAAAGGGAAAGTCAGAAAGTAAGTGTAATTCCTCTTTCTAAGCTCGTGATGATTTATTTGATATTTCTTTAATGGGAGCCTGGGATGATAGATGATTCTGATTTCGCCTTCATACATTTTTTTCGCAGTTTCCCTGGTTTTCCAGATTCGCAAGCTATGATCACGGCGTGAACAGCGGAAGACGATCAGTACGTTGCAGTCCACGCTGGTCGTATCGGAAGAAGCTGTTAGCCTTTGTGTGTTCCACAGTTCTTGTTGGGCGCTTCTCTGCACTTTACTGTCTTTGAACGATGGATCCGTTTAAGACACATGGTACGCTCAAACACATTGAGGGTGTGAGACTATCAGCCCCCAGCTGTCGATGTGTCGTGGTCCCCCGCCCAAAACTGCACGGGGTCAGAGTACGGGACCGTGGGAAAGTCGTAATTCCTTGCTACACCGCCCGTTTTTGCAAACTCACGTTTTTACTAACACCGTCCGCGCGGCGCGGTCGCGTGCAGCTCTCTTGGCTTTTTGCCAAGTCCTGTAATTGCGCTTTGGAATACAAGTACAACGCAATTTCTTTATGCGGATAACATTTTAGGTGCTGCAAAATAAGAACCGAAGATGATGACGAGGGCTAGAACTCAAGAGCAACTGTGCTGCTTCTGCAATATCCCTCAGAGGCCGCGCATTCCCACAGAACATGACAATAAAAACGGACAACATGACAATAAAACATGACAATACAAGCAAAACGCAATTTCCTAACATTTGAGGTATTGCTCATGCTTCAAAGTCCGAATAGAAGGTGATGAAGATGACAAAGGCTAGAAATGAAGAACAACGAATGTATTAGGTTGTCCGGAAAGTTCTCAGCGTTTTGAGTGTTTCACTTTAAACGATCATAACTTTCTTAATACTCATCGGATTTAATCGAAATAGGCACCGTTCGAATCAGCACACTTTTGCCAATGTGACACCAGTCGATAAATCCCATCAAAGAAAAAAACTGGGTGGTCGAGAATCCACGAAGTCCATGAAGGCTTTTTTGCCTGGTCCTGATTGATGAAGTATTTTCCAAGTTCTGAAAATGTTCTGAAAAGGTGATAGTCGGTTGGTGAAAGGTCTGGAGAATATGGCGGTGAGGTAGAACTTCAACCCCCAATTCGTTCAATTTATGGATAGTGATTTGTGAAACGTGTGGGCGGGCGTTGTCATGCAAAGAATCGGACCCTTTCTGTTGACAAGTGCTGGCTGCAGCTGACGCAATTTTCGGTACATTTCGTCGATTTCTTCACAGTAGGACTCTGCTGTGATGGTTTGGCCTGGTGACAAAAAGTTATAGTGGATCACACCAGCCGATGATGACCATAATCTTTTTTTCGTGAGGATTCGGCTTTGGAAATTGCCTCGGTGGTTCGTCGGCATCCAACCACTGTCCGGAACGTCTCCTGTTATCATACATGATCCACTTTTCATCACAGGTGACAATTCGGTCCAAAAACGGGTCGTTTCTGTTGCGCAAAAGCAGTGAAGAAGGAAACCTCGAGACGTGCCAATTTCTGCCGGTCACTCACTCATTGTGGGGCACCCACTTATCGAGTTTTTTCACCTTCCCAATGCGTTTCAGACCATCCGCAACAGTGGATTTGCCAACGCCTAGCTTTTCTGCAATCTCTCGAACTGTTTGGGATGGGTCAGCCTCCACAAACGCCTTCAAATCCTCGTCAGGTATTGCTTTAGGTCGACCGCTATGAGGTTCATCTTCAAGGCTGAAATCTCCAGAACGAAATTTGTCGAACCATTGTCGCACGGTGCTTTCTCCAACACTATTGGGCCCCACACCTGGTTAATTTGTCGAGCTGTCTCGACTGCGGATTGACCCAATTTGTAGTTGAAGAAAAATATCGTCCGAAGTTGCTCTTTTGACATGCTTCAAAAAGTCTTGGGAAAAGGGGTTATCAAGCAATGGTGAAACGGCAATTATACCATCAGATAGCGCAAAAAATTCTCTTCAGGATGTACTACTGAGACGCAAGGGAGAATGAGTTTCAGCAATGAATGTACAAAAAATAGTAACACAAAACGCTGAGAACTTTCCGGACAACCTAATAGATGTAAATAAAACAAAATTGAAAAAACTAAGGAAACGCAAATTAATTAAAATCGCGTGTGCATTTCTGCGATCCGGCTCGAATCCGGCTCCAAAGCCATAGAAATACTTTAAACTAACGAGTGGGACGCTTAGGCCGTTTTTATTTTCATGTTTTGTGGAAATGCGCGGCCTCCGAGGAATATGAAGCAGCACAGTTGCTCTTGAGTTCTAGCTCGTCACAGCACCTAAAATGTTATCCGCATAAAGAAATTGCGTTGTACTTGTATTCCAAAGCGCAATTACAGGACTTGGCAAAAAGAGAGCTGCACGCGACCGCGCCGCGCGGACGGTGTTAGCATAAACGTGAGTTTGCGAAATGGGCGGTGTAGCAAGGAATTACGACTTTCCCACGGCCCCGTACTCTGACCCCGTGCTGGGCGGGGGGACCACGACACATCGACAGCTGGGGGCTGATAGTCTCATACACCCTCAATGTGTTTGAGCGTACCATGTGTCTTTAAGAAAAAAGTCACGTACGCTCATACGATGAGCAGGAGTGCTCAACCGCGCTTTCAATTGCTTTTCATGGAACTCATCGATAGTCAGAGCCAACATTTTCTATTACACCAATTATGTTTTCGAACTTCTTCGGTGACATGGTCAAATCAAGAATGCGTCTGCGCTAAAGCGAAAAATGGCATGCGAGCAAATCACCACCAGCGTTCAGGTTACTAACACTGTGGTTTTATTGGGAAACCTGAGGTATGAAATCAGTAGTCGTTAAATGATTGATACATTTACCTGCTCGAATGTGTCTGGATCGTTAATGCGACGTGCGAACGCTACCGCCACCGCCTGAGCAACACCGTTCAGCAGTGGTGAGACAACATCCTGATGAGATGAAAAGTGAGCAGCAAGTGCACTCACAACATGTGACGGACAAGACTCCAGTGCAGTCAGCAGCATAATCTGCAAGGCCCAAAACATGAGTATGCTGTCGGAGAAACCCACCGCAGTCATTACAGTACGTCTCTATTCGCGCGAAAATGCTAGCTCTTGATGAACAAATGACACTGAATCTGATCATTCTATATAATCAAATGCCATCGTCAGCGCAGCCACTAAACGACTGACAAAACATGATGGGAGGTTTTCGCCGAGGAAGTATACAGGAAGAAGACAATGAAAAATCAAATTTATCAACCCTACCTGCTGCGTCTCCAGCAGGGTTTGAACTGGAATTGCATTCAGTAGCATCGATATTACATCCTTGCACTCGAGCCAAGCATTTCTTACAAAGGGTAAAATAAAAACATTGGTAGTTGAAGGATGGCTCAAGTGCGTGAAAATAAACAAGGGAAACGTACTCGTCAACTTGCTTGACGTCTATCGCAACCATTCGCCTGAGAATTTCCAGAGCCTTGAACTCAGTACGCTCGACTAGGAATTCAGAGCGAAGCTCCTGAAATTGTGAATCACTCAAAATAGCGAATAATGGCACAATGAAATTGAAACGCCTCAAATTCGAATGACACTGGCATCCCACTGTGTAGTTATAGTCTTGTTCGCTGCGGACGAAGGGGCGTGTCAGGCGGAATGTGTTTGGCACGGTGCCAAACCCGTTCTCCACCGGTTTTTGAAGCGAGAACGTGACAGGGATATATAATATCATTCGTATCCAGTTGTTTTCTACTAATTGTTGCCGCATAACCGCTTCATCAACTGGCAGAGAACAGGTTTCGTTTCGCGGCACACTAATACTGCCTGACACGCCCCTTCATCTGCAGCGAATCAGAGTATATGATCAGACGAGGGGCTGTTTTCTTGCATTGATTCTGTTAAACAGGTAAATGATAGACTCGCAAGCGGATAACTGTTAGAAAAAGCACTAGATAGAATCAGAGAGGTTATTGAGGTAAATGAAACAAAAAAAGACGTCCCCCATGCTTATCATTGTTGAAACCAAAGCTTTAGCAGAGCAGTGTAGTGTTTAGTTTGCTCCTAATAGGTTTCACAAAGGCATTTTCACTGAGCCCGACATTTCAAAGAAAATGCCTTCTAGGATACTTGAAATCGCATCTAAAAAGTGCGTAGCGAAAAATTAAATCTGATAGAAAAAAAAACACGTCAAACGGCAGCAACACACGAAGCGCTCTCTGCTGGCCGTTCCCCTATGAACAATCGACAGACCAGAATCGCAACTCTGATGAAATCGCTCTAAAAGTTTAAAGCAGCGGCCCAATCCACTCACTGATATTACTTTCTGTCGTTTCTATATTTACTTTACTTCAGTGTGAAGCCCAGGGCAGTTCTATAGAAGAAAGCGGTATTCAATCATAACCATTCCTATCTAGCTGGGACGTCAGTTCTTTCTCTTGTGGTCCGTCGCACATGTTCATCGTATGATTGCTTTCAACACTATGATTCGTGATGACCTGGTGATTGGAGTACGTTCGCAGGGATGATAGCAGAGGAGATGAGGATGGTCCGAGGTTGGATAAGCAGACGCATCTTTGACGCATTTCGCAGTTCGTACTATTTCATTGCCAGGTAACTATTAACGTTGTACAGGAAGCCTCGTACCCGGTTATGACCTAAGTGCTACCCATGAGAGACCTCGGAGTCATGCCAGATGGAAAAACGTTTAGCAGCAAGGATTCCGGTCTGTTACAGGTCCAGTAGCACTAAGAACGCGGTCATAGCCCCCCCCCTCCCTTCACCAAGTGGATAATCCTGTTTTTGAAAGAGTGGATCTATCGGGAAAAGCTCACGAGATGAAAACTGGTATAAGCCTCTAGCGTGAGCAACGTCTTCGTGAGATCAAGCTGGAGCCGCACATTGTCTGGTCCACCACTTGCGAATTTGCTACATTCTCCACCTCGCCTTCGCCTTGCCCTAACATTCAGCCTATTCTTTCTCAAGCTTTTGTCGTGCCGTGACTCGAGAAGGGTAGACATCGCTGCAATGAGCACCATTTAGCCACAGATGCAGATGTAACACCATTCGATGATACCGTAGATTTAAGGACTTAGACGACTCACTAAAACGCTTCAAAACCCACCAAGAAGCTTTCACTCGTCCATTGCGGTACTCGCTCTTCCGATGACGGTTCTAGATCACTCGATGACGCCGAGCGCATCGTTGTGACACCTGAGCTTCAACGAGATTACATTTCAATGTCATCTACTGGGCTTACACATAGTGGACAGAAAAATGGCAGGACGTCAACGACTCAAGTAATTGTCAGCACAACTTCCATAAAAAAAACTTTCGGAACGTTTGCAAAGATATATTTCTCAAATGAAGCACGACAAATCGATGCATATTGCGGAGAACAAGACCATCTATGAACGATATGATCAATTACGTCGGCGCCTACCGGCACATAATTACGAAATTCACAGCTTGTTCAAGAAGTTAAGACGAATCAACTAGAGGAGATAAATATGAATAAAAAATTAGCGAAAAAATACCAGCAGAATCGAAACAACTGAGTATCTACGTCTGTGCAAGTCGCCGTAGTTGAGTAAGTAGCGGAAAATAACAATTTTTACAGCACAACATTATCACGTTACTTCAACGGCTTGTAGTATAGAAGAAGATCACCACCCTGTTTCCAAACGAAATGCTTTACTGATCGAAGATCCATGTCTGGATCGAGCTTCTGAAACAAAAGCTTTGAGCTTTGCAAACAGACGTGCATTGCAGATAACACAACTGGAAAGGCTGTACACTGAATGCAGCCATATGATTCAATCAAACGAACATGCATGTCACTTATACGTAACACCTGTACTTCCTTTACGGACTTTACGGACAGGGCACTTTATACTTAAAGATTCACCTCCTGTCGCGGTTTCGCGACAAACGTGGCCGGGATCCCGTGCGTCTGGGCTCTGGCGCGCTATACGGGCAAAGCCGCGACCGCCGAATAAAATCTTTGAAACTGAGATTAATGAACTATGTTGTAAAATCTAATAAATGAGAATTATTGAGGGGGGTCGAAAGCAAAGAGATAGCTCAGCTTCCGTTTCGCACGTGCCCTTAGACGGAAGCCGAGCAAAAGCATATTCCTCCTTCCGTGCTCTTCAGTAAGGAAAGGAAAAATCAATTGTAGCAAGTTTATAGTTTACTTAGATTGACACAGCACACCGAAATTTAGCGCAATAGTAACACATTGAATGCCATACTACAATTTATCTTGGCTTATACAAGCTCCAATATTACTGTGGTAACAAACTGTCTTTTTTTCTTTTTTAAATACAGTCCCCCTTGAATCACCTTTTCTCAGTTGCAATTTGCAATTTCTGCAAAAAAATGGCATATATATTTCAAATCATATCCGATATCATACATGGCAACCTTGCTTCACCTTTACTTATTCTGATGTTATCGTGGCCGGGAAGCATCTGTTTGGACCACTCAAATTACGGCCACCGCCTCGTCACCATCCGATCGCTTCATGCGGTTGCACATTTAATTAACACTGACCCCGTGAACCGAGGTGCGAGTGGAACATCGAGTTCTCATTCGGGTTCATTCTAGATGTGGAGCCACCTCTGACATCAAATACTGAACTAAATCCATAGCATTGTATGATATCTGGCGTGCATAATTAACTATAACCTACTTCTTTTTTTCTTTGCAGGGGAACACCCTCGAGATTTAATGAAATAATATTAAGTATTTAATAATTACTTCAGTATGGCATCCAATGTGTTCCACTCACTTTACCCTCAGTGCAAAATCAAGTCAATAACGATATATCCGAGTTATCTTTTTTTTCCCCCCTTCATGAAAATTGGTACTTGTGACTGACCAATAAATGATGATGATGATAAGGTATAAAGTTGAAAACGATGAAGACTGAGAGGTTTAAGACTGCTAATTGAATGGATAACGTGAGTAGGACGTCGTAATTACGAAAAACTATCAGCTGATGTTACATTATAATATCTGAAAATACTACACGACACATGCAGGTAAAAAATGTGTTACATAGACACGAATTCAAACGGAAGAGCCACTGAGAATACCTCGGGCTATTCTGCTTATGCTACTATAATCATTCGTAATAGAGTGTTTGTAACATATAAGTTTATTTCTATAAATACTCTTCACTATACTAGCTATAATGAAGTCCTCACTGTAACCATTGCTAATACAAGCATTCTACCATATCCGATATATCCTTCCTATAAACGTATCAAAACAAGTACAGGTGTTGGCTATCCTAAGGGTTTCTGTGTGTTAACGGAAGCCTTGTTGTTAGTGGAGATATTTGAATCACTGCCGCCGGCCCGCCCTCAGTGGAGCCTATATAAAGGCTGCTGTGAGCCAGTCGGCGTGCTTCTCTGCCTCCAGCAGGAGAGATTCACTGGCATGGCAAACGCTCTGCGCGCCGATGATGCCAGACGGTTCTGCAGGGTGCTTGCACTCTGTACAGCAGTGTGGTCGGGCACACTGCTCCGTTTGGCGGAGCTCTGGCCCAGGCCCGTGCCTGCTATGACCCGAGCGCACGGCCGTCTGCGGGTTGTAGCCGCAAAGCCCCATTTACCGCTAGGATTACCGCGAGGACAGATGGAAGATGGATGGTCAGTCCAGCTACGGCAGGATATAAGGACAGTTGGGTGATGGTTACCGCAAACACGCGAGTCAATAAATATGGAGTTTATTTATCTTGTAATGTGTGTGCAATGGGTGGGAGTGGGGAGCGACCGGGCAAGTGGGCCCGTAAGGTGCTGGTAAGGCTTGGGAGGTTAGGTCGGGTAAAGGTAGCTGTTAGCTGTTATGTTCTGTCGGTATTTTCTGTGTTGTGATTCATGCCCATTCAAGGGCGTAGTAGGCATGCATGTTAGATCCGGTACGCAGGCTGTAACAGTGGTAGGGCTGGCCGACTCGGGCGTCTCAGACGCGACCATGTGGGGAGGTCCAGACCCACCACGGGCATGCTTTCATGGGCTGGCCGTCCTTGTAGCCTGTCACTGGCTTTGGCGCGGGTGGTCCCTCGGGGAAGCGAGACTACAGGGGGGGGGCCAAAAAAGTCATTTCGGCCGAGCCACATATCAACGAAGTTTTCGCAGCCCAGACAGGGGAAGTGGATATGAGTACCAGAGTGGAAGATACCCAAGATCTTCCTCTATAAGCTGGAGCAGGCTGCCGCCAATCGCCTTCATGTACGCCAAAATATGAAGTCATCTCCAGTCGCGGCCTGACTGGAGAACACCTTTGGAAATTCACGTGGCCTCCAACGCTTGCGAAACGTCTTGAATGAAGTCACCCACAGATAGCTTCCTGGAGGTCAGTAGTCTTGATCTGCAAGACCTCCCACATCGAGCAGCTGTGGCAACGTCGCCACGGTCTAGGACATCATCTTCACCGTATTCGCCGAGGCGCGAGTTGATGGTATGGACCGGGGTACCTGGAAAGGGAAGGGCCGATATTTTCTTTGTAGACCCCGACTGAAGGTGAGTCTGCCTTGTATATAACTTCTTGGAACTGTCATCCTATCTTTTCTGCGACGCTCGCTATGAATTTCCGGTCAACACACATACAGACAGACACACACTTCAGAACAACACACTGACAGCAACACAGACAACGTTGCGATTATTATAGTAGTAGGATTTGTCTGGCGGTTCTTGGAGGAGCAGAGGGAAGGGGTCACATCCGGTGCCCCCTCCCTTCACCCCCACCCTGCCCCCGCACGAGCACATCCAGCTGCCACGCCAGCAGCTCGTGCAATGGCTCGGAGTGTACCGAATGGTTGTCTTATATAGCGGAGGCTGTTATCCTAATCAAAACATTGGATTGATACATCTGCAACATCGGTTCCAGTTTGCTTAGCGGTCGTTCTTCCTTGCACTAATTCTAACCCATGAAGCAATTTGCGGACGGATGGTTTATAGAATGAAAAGGATTTGAAATTTTTCTGGCGGTTGTTTTCTCATCTCTTGCTGTTGCTGCGTGCTTCCACTCGAGCGTGCGCTACCCCGTCCCCCCTTTACCGTACCCCTCCCTCTGCTTCCTTCACTGCAATGCTCGGTCGGCTGAGCACGTTGCAGGGGAAGGAAGCATGGATAAGGGACAGGGGTCTCTGGGATCCCCCCCTTCGGCCACCTAAGCCTGCCCCCGCACGAGCACATCCAGCTGCCACGGCAGCAGCTCGTGCAATGGCTCGGAGTGTACCGAATGGTTGTCTTATATAGTGGAGGATGCTATCAAAATCAAAACATTGCATTGATACATCTGCACCAACCGATTTCCGGTTTGCCTAGCGGTCGTTTTTCCCTCCAGTAAATCGAACCCGTGAAACATTTTGCGGACGGACAGACATACATACTTACATACATACACACACACTACTTACATACATACATACAAACCGACACACCAAGTTACTGGTTTATAAAATGAAGGGATGGGGTGATAATTCGGCTCTCTATATTCATGTAATTACTCTCCAATTGCAAATAGCTAGAAAAAAGCGTTGTAAGCGTAGTAGGGTCAACGTGCGACATAATATGCCTAGACCTATATTTTAGAGGTTCTATATTTTAGCATCCATCCCTAGCCCCGTTACCTCAAAGTGGTGGGATGGTGTAAACTCACTCAATGTTACTTCCCGTTGTTGTTGCCGGAACAGCGACGCGTTGAGTGAGGCTAAAAACGGGCCCCTCTTGGACAGGTACCGCACCCGGCAGCGGTACTACCGCCAGTTATGGCTAGGCGGTGAGGGTAAGTCCAGGCATCACATCTATGATGAAAGTTAAGAAAGAAGTACGCCTCAAATCCCGTGGCACCGCTTCATGCAGAGGGCAAAGGCAGAGGGGGAGAAATCTCACGAGAAGCGATCTGCCAAACAGTTTCCTAAACATTGGAACAATAAACGCTCGAGGTCTCGTTAACAACTATGTGATCTGATCGATCAGCTAGTATTTGAAATGGACAGGTGTGCGATTGACGTAGCATGTGTCCAAGAAACGTTAAGATGCAATGCAGGAAGATGGAGTTGGCACACTGGACATGAAGTGATCCTAGGAGCTGGCTCAAGAAACGGAAAAGTCGGAGGAGTCGGATTCATTGTATCGCCACGTCTTACTGCAAGGATTGCCTATTGCGAAGTAGTGTCTGAAAGAA